ACTCAAATATCCTCAAACACCATCAATCCTAAAGAACCAAATCTCCTCATTATCCTCGAATTCTTAAATCTTCTCTTCTTAAAAAATAAATTGTAACTGTCCCTGAAACTCAAATCCTTCGGTACCATCGGACTCTAGAGATAAACTTTCATCTTCAACCTCTTCAAAAACGCAACAGTGTCGAGACGTCGTTGCTCCGAGTCGAATGATGCCTCGCGCGGAAAAACTCGGCATCTAGCCTCGAGCTGTGGATCGGCGATAAATCATCGTCGTCGAAGAACGATCGAGTTATCCGCAGCGATCGGAGCCCGTGGTTAACGAAGCAGGTGATTTCGGGGCGTACTTCACCGGCTGCGACGCGTCAGACATTGAAAGAAGAACTTCGGGGTCGTCGAAACGTCGGGAACACACCGCGATCGACGCGAGGAAGGAAATAGTTACGTGTGGGAAGCGTTTCTAACGTCGACGCGACGTTCTTGAAATGCTGCCGACGCGTTTTCGCCGTCGCGGATCGTGAATAGGTCAGTTTGGGGCAGAGAAAAAAAAAAGAAAGATACACGGGACTTGTTAGTTTTGTTTCCTCGTGCACGATAATGGAAAACTCGCCGGGAAGTTCCTTGCTCCTTCGTTAGCCGCTCCTGTCGCCGTGAAAAGGCGCGGTTTTCTCGGGTCTGCGGACGACGAGGAAGCGACCTGTCACTCGGCCCGGGCCAATTAAGCGGTGATAATTGCGGCGATTACAAACCGTCGAACTGCCGTTATCGGAGGTTTCGTTTGGCGCATTAATTTTATCGCCATCCGGCCGGCCGACGCGCGAAAACGATTACTTTAATTGGCTCACCGTTTCAGCGCGGGTTCTCTATAATTGTTCAACAATAAAATCATACGCGAAACGCGTGTGCATGCGTTGGTATTAAACGCGGCGATCGCCACTGGCGAATTTGTCTCGGCAGCGGCAGGGAGATTTAAACGCGATTCTAGGGGTAGTGATTTGTTGAGATACTGGTATTGGTTTGTTGAGGGCGGTCGTCTCTTTACCCTTCGGGAGGATTCTCGTTGGATGCTAGAAAATTCAAGCTGTATTTAACAATAACAATTTAACGATTTTGTAGCGGTACAGGGAAAGGGATTTATTCAATTCGAGGGTGAAGAGATGTTGGTACTTCACTTCTGTTCATTTGAAACTATTAAATCAAATTTAGTATTCATCCTTACATGCGTGGACATTGTCCCAACTAAAATAAACAAGTAAGAAACACTCTTAATAAATCGCCAACCTCGAAAAGTGTAACTTTCGATTTTTAGCCAGAAGTTGTCAACTTTTTAGTCCCTAAAGAATTTAAGATATCGGATGAATCCGATGGAAACGATAGCTGCACGTTCCTTTTATCGGTTTGTCGAAGTTCAAGTCAATCTGTCCAGTAGTTCTCGAGAAATCAGTGTCGCTGCTCCCATCTACCAAGTACCTTCGAAACAAACGCGTTTAAAGTTTTACATGCAGTCAACGACCGTCTGGACGACGAATTCAAATATTCATAACTCGCTCAATTTTTGAACTTGTACCTAAAAACATTTTCCTTAGATATTCTCGATTTTACCTAATTATTGCCTCGTAAAGATTGATTCAAATAATATTTTATTTTACATCGACTCAATTTTAATGTTAATTAGATTGCTCCTTAAACCATGATTTATTCAACAATAATATTTGATTCTAAATTAACATAATTTTATTTATTCCAACCCTAGTTATTGGTGCTCCCAAACTTTCAGAATATGTACAAAACAAAGTCGACCGTGTTTACTCGAAAAAATCAGGAATACTGCTTCAACAGGTTTTGGATTGTTTGGAAGGAAAATCAATCTTTCTCATTAACTATTTTTTTGTTTTGAAATATCAAGATTTACAAATTACGTCCTCTAATATTTTATAACGATGTTCGAAGATTTAGGGAAGTTAGTCTTTTCATCGAGTTTCTCGAAGAGTACGCAGTACAAGTCAAATCAGATATCTTAAAACTTTAAAGCTGTTTACCTCGGAACGACTGCTCCTGATCTGGCGTTCACGAAATCTCGCGAATAACCAAGCGATTGCCATGGAAGTTTACATGTAGATTCAACAAATGTTTGTACGTTGATGGTACTAGAATTCTTGCTGCACCAGTTGCTGTTTTTAATAGCGTTAGTTAGTCTAAGGTATCCTTTTATCTTATTTTTCCTTTATATCTGAATTCTTCTTTTATAAAATCTGTAAAACGTACACAATGTTTTCTCTCCCCTTTACAGTCTTGTACATATTCTTTTTTCGTAGGAATGTAATATTATGTATACGATATTTATAGTATACAAAATAATTTGTACACTTACAAGTAGTTTTTTGGATTTTTCAAACAAACTTTTCATCGATAACAAAATGAAAGTTAAATTAAAAGTATAATTAATATGAGACATATCGTTAGACATAATATTATTCCATTACGTAATATAACAAAATAATAGAACGAGTGTACGAACACCGAACAGAATTTGCTTATTAATATAATAATGCATAGTAAAAGTGAGCGTGTGGGTGGAAAGTTCAATGCTCCAGTTTCATACAGGACTTCCGATTATTTCTAACACCCCATTGTACATTTCACGCACCGCGCTTGCAGCCCAGAGCGGCGTTCAGATAATTGTGCACAGTTAATTATAAGTTTAATCAGTATTTGTTTTCGCATAATTTTGCCTGTTCGGAGAAACATTACAGCACAAATTACTGGTATGAGAGACAAAGTATTCGACATTATTCTCCTTAATTAGCAAGGTATTACGTTTTCGATGCTGTTTCCCCAGTTAAATTATACTTTATTGTCAGTGGAAGACTTTCTTCATTTATTCTGGCTTCGAATCAGAATAACCGAGCCACTTAATTTTCATGAGAAAACCATTAATATCTTTCAATTTTCTTCTAGAATATTACGTGGATAGATATCAAAGTTTTTTCTTTATATAATAAGAGATTTTTAAACTTGGTATTATTATACTTTCTTATAGCAATCGTAGTACTTGTAAATTATTCATATATTACGTCCCAACTATGACTGGGATGTTCTTAGGTAACTCCGCGGTGACTCTATCTCTAGTGCGTATGTTCTCACTTACGCGAACTCTTTACTCAGCTGGAGATGCAATACACGATACCTAAATGAGACTGACGCGAGAGATTAACCCGTCCACTACAGAATTATAACTGCCAAAATAAGAACACACAAAAGCCGTCCGTGGTCGTGACCACGAGTTTATATAACCCCAGATCCTCGCCTGGCGCGATCGTAATTTCGAAATCTTAATTTCTACACTTCCGAATCTGGGACGGGTCGCAAGTTCGATGGCCGATTCGTACGCAACGGCCTAACATCGCTGACGCCCGTTTGCTGACTCGCGGTTCGCATTATTTCGTTCGAGGAACGATTTCCGCATCGTTTATCGAGCGCATGCCTAAAGTTTACCGATCTCGCTACGTGCAATGCGAGGTCGATGAAAAGGGGCACCATTCGGCAGGGCCGGATGTAACACATATATAATACTTGTCATCTCGTTTCCTTTTCCTCAGCTCGACTAATATATTTTTTAAATATACTATCATATTAGAAATACGTTTTCTCTCCTTTAAATCTAACTGACTTTCCAAATATAATATATCCTATAATATATTTATATTATTGGGAAAGTAAGGCAGATTTGAAAAACATAAAATATTCAAGCTTGGTTTGGTAATAGAAATGATCAAATTTCCGACAAACAAAAATGTGTCTTCCAAAATTATGGACGTATCTGTATCACTATCATAATGGAAGACCCACGTACAAAGATTCTTCGTCGAACAAGACAATTTTCCTATTCCATTGTTTAAGTTATCCCGTGGTAATTCGTTTCTAAAGTACGCTCTCCTGAAATCGACTCACGTTACCACCCAACAAAATCTACCCCTAACCCCGTAAGCGAATCGTTTTCAGCCCCTTTTTCTCCTCTCTCGTCGAACCAACCCCCGTTTTCGGAAGGAATTTCCAGAGACTCGAATCGCATCCTAAAAACTAATTTGTAAACATGTGATTAAATGAGCGCTGGAAAACTCCGTGGTCGGATTGGGAAACGAGATTTTCCGCGCGTCGAAATTAGTTTCCGATGGGAACAACGGGGATTCCTCTCTTTCTCGCTCTCATTCTCTCTCCTGTATCTTTCTTTTTTCTCTCTCTCTCTCTCTCTCTCCGCTCGCTCGCTTTCTCTCATTCGGCGCGGTAAATATCATTCTGTCGAACGCGAAAGTTTGCTTGATTTACGGGCTGTCGTTTAACTTCGGAAAAGGTCCATTCGCGGAGGATTTCATTGCTGTTAACACCGTGCTCCGCGTTTGTCAATGACGCGGGACCAGTGTAAGCTTCGCCGGCGGAGACAGATCGAACGTCCCCGTTGATTGCTTTCTTCTGCGGCTTTGAACGTTTCTCCTCGATGATCGATAACCGCTGTCGATGGCGACGAACGAGTCGCAGAAAATATCTATTTTTACCTCGACCACTCGGTTAGCGCGATTCCGTCCGACCGCGGCTAACTTTCGCGAGCTTCCGTCGCCATTTCGAGGCGGTCGCGATTAACCCTTTACGGGCAGCTCACCTTTCGCAAATTTCGTCTCGATACCGTTCGAACTCCGAAAACGGTTGAATAACGCGACTTATTATGTTACAGATCGGTGCAATCTCCATGTAAATTCCATTTTTATAGATGTGTAAACAAACCAGTATAATTCTTATCGTTGTTTCATAACTTTGTTTCCAATAAAAAAATACTTGAAACAATTATGTTACTCTATGTTACTGTATAACTTATTAAGAAATCGATTTTGCATTACGAGAATAACGTCAACATCTAATGCACATATTTATTTGTGCACTTGTACTTATTTGTATGCACATACTTATTTGTATTTCAAGTTTTTGTGAAAATATTTCCTTTACGCAAATTTATTTTTTGTTAAACCTACGTTTTATTTTGTATTTGTTTAGGGAATTCAAGAGAGTTTAAAATTATCTCCCTTGATTTAAAATATTCGGACGTACAGTATAAACCTTCTTCAGAGTCAGTCTTGGCGTGGACGTTGAAACGAGGGTTTGATTTGGAAGAAGCTATTGTCTTTTTTGCTTTGTGTTATCCTTCACGATCCCCTTCTCGTCCCCAATTACGTCACGGTGCAAAAAGCTTCATTTCTTCACCTTGTCAGCAAAGAATTTCAGATTGCTTTTCTCTGCTCCTTATTACTGCCTGACTTTACATATGTCCATCTGTCTGGAAGACATATTTTTTGCCTCAAAAATTTGTTTATTATACTACGAAACCAACCTTGAAAATGAGAATTATAAGAAGTAAGAAAAAAAAAGGAAACGAAAGTTGGAGCATTTTTTTTGTTTTTTCGACAGGTATTCGATATGCTATTTGCGAGGGATCACGATCAAATCACGAGCTCACGTCTTACCTGACGTTGCGTATATTTGATCGAGCTTAGAGTATCCTATAGAAACTTGTGTGCCAGATATAGATTCAATCAAAATTGACAAGCTATAGATGAGATCGCTGTGTGCAATGAATTACAAAGTACTTGATTTCCATAACAAATAGAGAAAAAAATAATACAAGATGATATGCAGAATATCATTATTAATAAATGCTTGAAAAGCTGTGTCCAGCCATTAGAAAATTTATCAAAGGGTTTACACAAGAGTGTTTTATTTATAAACGAGTATAATACATAATAAATCCACTTAAAATTTCCAGACCGACGTGATTAAATTACATAGATACGTCGCGTAATAATCTCGTTAAAAGTTGAAAAATTCCTGATTAAATAAATAATATAATAACACGACGAAATATTCATGAATATGTTAAAAATTTTATAACGCAACGTAATGGTAGCTCATTGTAGGCTGTCAGATTTTTCTTTTCTCATGAATAAAGCTATTATTACTAGAAACATGAATTATGTGATATTAACCCTTTGCACTCGAGAGGTGACTCTCAGGCACCATTAGGTTTCACGCAACAAATCTACTATACTTAATGTCCCTTTAGGTCTGGGTTAGGTCTCTGTTAAGTCTCGGTTAGTCTTGGTTAAGTTCCGATTAAGTCTCGGTTAGTCTTGGTTAAGTTCCGATTAAGTCTCGGTTAGTCTTGGTTAAGTTCCGATTAAGTCTCGGTTAGTCTTGGTTAAGTTCCGATTAAGTCTCGGGAGCTTTTTTACACGGCTTTATCGAGGATAAATAAAAGTACAAATAGATTTCCTTATTTTTCAACGTAGGTTTCTTCAACAGAACTATGTACATTGTGGTGGCTGACGAGTAAATAATACACGTACCTGTTCTACACAACAATTTCGAATTACATTTAGAGAAAAATGATTTAATTCCGCTGTAAAAATTCTCCATCAGAAGATAAGACTTACTTTCATTTATGTTTCAATTCCTTTTCCTAATAATTACATTCGGCAGTGTATTTAAAAATATTTAACGTATTACTTTCGCGTAACTCCTGGCCCCAAAAAGCACGAGCAGACGATAATTTCCAAGCGTTAGTAATTAAATATAAAGTAATCGAAGTCCCAGCGTCGCGTTGCAATAACATAACCGTAGGCGAATAAATTGCGCCATTAGCGAGTTTTATTCAGGCTCAAAACAAATGAGCAGCGATACTACTTTGTCGAGGAATGTCGGTATACTAAACGATTTATAGTAGCTTTGCCTTCGGGAACTGAATACACCGTATTTGATACACGAAATTCTCGTCGAACGGATGGCTCGCGTAATCGGATGAAATAACACAAAATATTTGGATAACAATGAGAGCGGAGGAATTATGAAACAGTTTCACGCGCGAAAGAGGTACAAGAATTCTTAGCCCCGGACGTTTTAATAAAGCGTTATTTTCCATTTCACGTGAGCCATTCCCGGATAGGTTAATAGACTGTGGACTAAATCTAGACCGGATGTTTATGCAAATTCGTATTTTTATACGTACAGATGAAGAACAATCCAGGAAGATATATTTTTGTTTAATCTCTCGATGTATTATCGTTTTCTAGATTTATTTTTAGGTGGTTTCTATTTTATTACGAGCTCTCGACGTGCGTTATGATGGAAATGGAAATAACATTCATCTGGAGATTCGATTTAAATGATTATTTTATCGCTGTGTACTGAGAAATATTATTGAACGTGGTTGCAAGCGGTGCACCAAGTGCCAGAAATAATGATCGATAAATATTCATTCGTCTTCGGCCAGTTTTGATATTTTTGGTTTTCGTATCTCATCGTACGTTCAATGTTTAGTGTTTTATTAACAAAATTATTGTTCAGAAAGAATGAAGTGTTGCGTTTATTTACATTGCTATTTTACATAACTATTTAAAAGATATACATCCTTAATATTAGGTTGCTTATGAATTAAATTAGATTGTTTATGAAAACTCATATTTTTATGTACACAGATAAAGAACAGAAACGTAAATTAAAGTTAGCAGAAAAAATTATGTTTCGCCTTCAAAATGACGTAACGTGTATTTCGTTCTTGTATATTTTTGTACATTCACAGTGGCATAAATGTATAAATATTCGCGGATTAGTTACACCAAACAAACAACATTCTTGGAATAGTTTCCCCCTCATAAATCTCTTACATGCTTCTATTTTTTTTTCGTGCGCGTAAACTATTTATTTTCCGAAACTGAAAAGTTGCTCGCGCTTTTCATCCCTAACTCTCCTCTTCATTTAATAACAGCACAATGCGCATCTACGTTTAATACCATCGTATAATATTTTCCCTGGCGCGAGGTCCCCAGAATTACTCCACGGAGCTTTATATTCTTGACGCAGCGTGCTGCGGTACGAGAAACAAAATTTTGTTATAAGAAAACGGTTCAACTTTCTTCGCTCGAGCGTCTCGTTAACTGCTTCGTGCTTCTATATAAATTCGGAAATCGCTTTTTTCTTTAAATGTCCATCAGTCTGGTTTTGATCTCAAATGTGATGAAATTCTATCGAGTTCTGAAAATAGGTTTCTCTGAGAAACATGTACGGAGAAAACCACAAGACCGTAAAGGAAAAACAGAGATTGTTGAGAAATTGAAGCAGAATGATTTTTGTAGACAAAATATAATCTAAACGTGTCGCACACAAAATTCATAAGCGTGGAAGTTAAAGAAGAATTAT